GTGCAGGCACGGTCACGCGTCTTCCAACGATCCCTCCGCGATGACAGAGTCTGACCCTTGATCAAACTCTCAAGTTTGGCTTTCCCTGCAATGGTGTTCTTGGTCATCGCATCATCTCCCGGCCCACCATAGTCCGCGAAAGTGTCGAGGACAGCGTTCGTTGCAGACTATTTGTAGTGGCATTCTTAGGTGACGATGTGGAGATGTAGACGATGGTAGGGAAATTCGTTGCGCATGAAATTCACTGCTGGTGGGACAAACCCGTCACCTCCAGCCCCGTATCCAACCATTTTGAAAACACTTATCGCCGCAAGCACGGCAAAAGGACGACTGCATTCTATGCATTGGGGAGGATTTCATAGGTCATCAGCGGCGAGTTTGTACCGATGTTCTCCAGCCTGGACTGGTGGCCGACCTTAAAATTGTTTTTCTCGACTATGTGCTCCCACATAACATGCCCATGGCGGGGTTACATTTTCATGGAATATTCCATGGAAGTCCATGGAAGTCCATGAATTTCCATGGAATTCCATGAACTTTCATGGAAGTCCATGGTTTCCATGGAAGTTCATGGAAACCCATGAAGCCCACGGATGTCCGTGGAAGTCCATGAAATCAGCAAAAAGTGTCATGGAAGTCCGTGAAACGTTTCATTGCGGCAGTCCATGAAACATTCCACGGACGTCCACGTCATCTTCCCATGAAGCCGAAATGGTGTTCGACGAACGGAGTCCGTGTGCATCCAACAGTCATGAATGTTCATGGATGGTCATGACGTACTTTCATGGAATTCCATGGGTTCCCGTGCAATTTCACGGACTTCTATGAGCAAGCCATTGAACTCCATGGAATACCATGGAAGTCCATGGAATGTTTCATGAATGTCCGTGAAACAGGCCACGTATCAGTCCATGGAATTCCATAGACTTCCATGAAACGTTTCATAGACTTCCATGAAAACAAATCACGAACGCTCATAGAAGCCCATGAAAATTTTCATGGAAGTCCATGGAATTCCATGGTATGTTTCTTCAAACTTCATAACACAACAACAGTGCCATAGTCTATAATATACAAACTCTGCACATTACTGGGGGGAACAAAGGCGCGCCATTGACCGAAGCCAACTTTCCTTCCTGCACCCAACCAAGGAGACAAGGCGTACCACCTATATGTCGTGTTAAACTTCAGCATTTCATTATGGGCACAATGACGAACGATTACTCCCGCCGGAACGGCCACTTGGTGTACGACTGCAGGCGAGTCGAGCGCCGACTCAAGCTTTGAGTCTCGAGGCAGTTCCAAAATACGTGCTGGTTTAGACCATCCGGTACCCGTCGGCTGCGCTACGTGAAGAGGTTGACGGCTGGCCACAACAACCTCGACGGCGCCCATCGCCAGAGCTTCGAGCTCTGTATCGGGCGGAACAAGCGGCACATAGGGAACCTCCCCCGTCCTACAGTAGTATGTCGCTGCCCTCATCTGGCCAACCGTCGCCAGAACGAAGGGCGTGCGGGAGAAGGCGAAGGGGGCGCCGAAGCAGAGGCAGCGAACGCACCCGATCAATCCACACTAAGGAAGAGGAGAAACGGCGCTGAGAAGAGGGGAGGGAAGACGGGACGACACTGAGGGAGGGGGTAACCGCCGAAACAGCCATCCACGAGGACGGACGATGCGAAACGTACGAGGAGATTTGCCCCCCGACAATGTCAATCTGCCAGGCTACTGGCAGTTTTGCTAAACTGCCCATGAGGTACCCATGGGCGCTTCATGGACTATGAAAGGTAAACTCGCGGGGTGCAGCAAGCACGTTCTGGACGTTACTTGGGGCACTGGGTAGTCGGCCGTGTTAGGCCGAGAGAGAGAGGTTGAGAGAGAGTTGGAGAGAGAGTGGGAGAAGGAAACTTGATTGGAGAGAGACGGTGGTGGTGGTGGAGAGAGAGAGAAGGTGAGCTGCACGCACGCAAGCCTCATCACATCCGCCACGCCAGAAGGGTCCCTGTGACTGCACCGGTGGTACCCCACAACACACGAAATTCCCAACACGTATCCCCCTGGGATCCTCACGGCCAGATACTGCTGCGAGTATATCTAACAGACTGCCCATGAACCTCCCCATGGGCTGCCTATGGGTGGGCACATGGATGGGCAGCCCATGAACTGCCCACGAATTGCCCACCGTGGGCACTTCAACCTAAATAGAACTCATTTATAGCCACCGGCATACCATGTAGAACTTAGCCACCGGTACATCAATGTAGAACTTAACCCAGCGCCAACCTAGCACGTATCGTGTGGGCTTGGGGTTAGGGATAGGGTTACGGTTAGCCCTAAGGTCTTTGGCCGTTGAAATGAGGGGCAGATAATCCATTGTTTATGGCACTGGTTCCGGTTGAGGGCACTCATTCATTGACGGATCATGGGCTGCCCATGGGGATTTCCCATGGGCGGCCCGAGGTCACCCCGCCCGTGGGCACCAAAGTGCCCATATTCGGCCCGCGGGCTGTCTATGGGAAGCCAATGAGCACAACGTGGTGCCCATGGACAGCCCATGGGCGATTTAAGTTGCAAAACCGCCGAAAGTGTGGGAGACCCTACAAAGTTCCCCCGATTCCTTCTTTGTTTTGCGAGAGCTTTAACTCGCCGGCCTCTCTCTCATCACCGCCATGGGTTGTTGGTTAGTGTACTGTCGTTGCGCGTCTCTCTTCGAAGACCCTGTGCTTACCGGGGATCTACGTGGAAATATTTTTAAGAGGAAAAGCAAAAGCTTCGGGGTTTGAGCGCGGCTTCCCATCCCCGCGAACACACACAACAAAAACTCGCGAAAAATAACCTAAGATTGTACCGCAACATGCGACACGACAACAAGAACTCTTGTGAGCTATGCCGTCTTCCCTCCAAGCAAGATTGCATAATCAATCAGGACTTTGAGGTGGTGCTTCATGGACTTCCATGAAATTTCACGGAAGTTCATGACATGTTCCATGAACGTCCATGAAAATCTATGAACGCACGTCCATGAAACATGCCATGGACTTCCATGGACTTCCTCAACGAAATGTTCGGCGGACATCCATGAAATATTTCATGGGCGCTCATGGAAGTCCACGAAATAATCGACGGATGCCCACCGCGATGTTCCATGACACATTCCGTGAACGTTCATAGTCTTCGTGAACCCCTGTCAACGTCCTCGAAATGTTTTCATGAGAAGTTTCATGACACGTAAGGGGATACTCGCATAAATACTTCATGACATAAATATCATGAACGTCAATGAAATGTTTGATGGAAGTCCATGAAATTTTCATGGAAGCCCATGGACATTCATGACTTTCCGAGTAATTCCGTGGAAGTTCGTGGGCTTCAACGGAACTCCATCGTATATCATGAACGTCCCCGGACTTCCATGAATATTCCATGGAATTCTATGGACTTCTATGGAATTCCATTAGTCGTTCCATGGAATTCCATGGACTTCCACGGAAAGTTTCATGGACTAGCATGGAAAAGCACGAAAATGTAAATGACCCGTCCAGATGGTGAAGGCGAGAATGCAATCCTTCGCAAAATTTGACCCTCTTGTCCCGTGAAAGTGCAGTGGGTGTAGCAATCTACGCTGACATACAACCATTAATCGGCGGTCGTGTTTGCACTTCTGTGGGACACAGGCGCCATCCGCAGTTGAGAGACATTTGCCCGGGGCGCAGCTGAAAAAAAGAGAATATTGAAAACCTTTTTTATTTTATCGCGTTCATCAGAACGACACGAAAAACGTCTAAACAAAATGTAGAAAAGAAACAATTCGGTGGGGAACCTCTTCAAAAAAACTTTTCGCCGCATTCCCGTCCGATTTGGTTTTCTACAACTCGGCAATCGATATATACCCAGACCAAAACTCAGCTGCGCCAGATCAAACTTAGAAAACGAGATTTTGGTTGAATCCTTCAGGAATACGTCACTTTGCCACGCCCGATTCTCAAAGGCAATAGCGAACTGGGCCATTATGATTAAAGATTCATGATCCCCACTCCAAAATTTCCCAGTACTCCGACTTCAAGCCCGCAGAGCCGGCTTTTGAGGTTTCGAGGGACCCTTCCAACCCCGCTTTATGGGCGTTTTGGGATATTTATAGCTGTAACTCGGTACCGTCAGTGAATTTGGAGAATCTGCCGACGGATTCACAATTCTCCACCCTCATTTACCCTATGCTGAAATTTTCAGTCCAATCAGAACTATTGAAGAGGGGGGGGTATATCCCCGCTTTCTGGCGTTTTCAAAGTTTTCCTTAGGGGAGACAGCAAACCTCGTTGAAACCCACGTACTAAATAGCAACGAGTATTTCCTCCAAACCTCTAGAGGTAACACTTGGAACACACCAAACAAAAATCAGACTTTGCCCCGGGAGGTTCATCACCATCCCCCCACACACAACATTTCCATGTCAATCAACTGAGGATGGTGCCCATAGACAAGTCTAGATTTGAGAGCCAAAATCTGTCTACCAGGCGTACGTTTTTTCGTTCGGAGTACGCATTTATCTTTAGACGCCCTGAGAGGTTAGGGTCAGCGTTAAATTGTGGATAAGGTTAGGACGTCCCCAGGTGGGCTACCTATGGGCTGCCGTGACCGTTCTGTGGAATGCCCGTATTATTGGCACGCAGACGGCACACGAGCTTGAAGGGCGAACTGCTTTGGCTGGCCTGCTGGCCGCGGAAGTTGTCGCCTACCGGTTGGAGCACAATGTATTTGTGAGGAAAGACCGCGAAAACAATTTCAGGCGTGGTTTGAAACGCTGAGGTCGCCATATTCCGCCTGGGCCAGTGTAGCAGTCGCTGGGTCACACATCTCGAATTTCGCAACGACTTCGTACAAGTATACGCAACGTTGCCCCACTCACGTTCCGTTTTCCTTGCGCTCTCTCCACAATTAATCGGTAATCGACCACGTCAAGACGGAATGAACAAAAATATAGAAAAGTCAACCCTTTCCTTCTGCCGCTACCGATTCCTCTGCTCCACGATCTTTCGGAGCACTTGGTAGCTATATATCGCACCCCGGTGTCCATCGCTCCAAGAGATGGAAACGGCGTAGTTGCCCCTGACGCTAATGTTAACCGGCTCCACATCGTCCGACACAGCAGCGGCTTGCTCGCTGGCAAGAGGCTCTCCGGTTGCCGGATCTCGGGTTCGCAGCTACTCCGTTTCGGGGTGGGGGGGGAGGCAGGCAAGGGGAGGGGTAGTCAGTTGGGACGTGTACCGGGAATGTCACCTTCTACTCTCATCGCTCAGTCATTCATAACGAGTATGCCCGTCAAGATCGTGTGAGTTCTCTGTTCTATCAGGTCCAAGGCCAACTTTCGTACCCTCTAATGTCTTGGCGACATCGCAACTGAGCAAACCTCTGCTACGAAACCGCGCCTCTCTCACCATCATGACAATCTTCTTGCCGCCTACGTTAGCGATTGCGCGTCCTCGTCGCACGCTATGTGCGAAACCACACCTTTCCATGTCAGATTCACCGCATTCCTTACGCAGCTTTTAGTGGGAGCAGAAAGTTGCGAGAAGAGTTAAATTTTGGAAACTTTTCTCGCAACTTTTCTCATGTACGCTCGTTATGGGGGTAAACAGTTGCTTCGACAGTTTTGAAAATTTTGCTCTTAACTGATCGCGCGATCTGGGGCAATTGTTTGCAAACTTTTCTCATGACAAAAGTGTCGAACAAAAGCTACGCGGCGAGACTTCTGCCAATCCCCGCCAAGTACTTGCCCCTACCACACACTCACGTAGACACTCTCCCGTCACACTCACGCGCACGATCCACGCGATCGATGAACGGCCAAGTCACAATACTCGATCAACGAGTAGGAATTGCCTGCGATGGCCGCAGCTGTGTAGAATACGTATTTGTTGAGTCTGCATCAACAATTCGTGTTGGATGTGAGCACGATTGAGGTCTTCCTGGCTTCGATTGGAAGGCACGACGCCAGGTTCTGTGCTACCAACTCGTTTCCCAGGCCATTGTTGCACGCTCTGGCCGGTTTCGCGGTGTGGAATGAAGGAGTGTGCCTGCTTATCGCCGTTGCTCAATAAACGAAGAGTGATCACGCCTCCGTATTCCACCAGTCCCGTGAATAAACCTTCCTTCGCTCCGTGTGAGCGTGGAATAATTGTAAATTTTGAAAATAGTTCCCGGCAAAAGCTGCCCAACAAACTTGAACTTTTCTAGCAACTTCATGCTCCCATAAAACGTGGGCAGTGTTACATCTCTGTTAAATGTCCTGTTCGCGACCTACTCTCATGCTTCCGATTCATCGCCACTTCACGTGGTGACTTCCATGCATCAATTGGTGCTCGATTCCAAACTTAGCACATCCCACCGACGTTGATAAAAGATGCGTGAGGGACGCGCTTCGTTTCGTGCACCCATGACCCATCGAAGGTGGTTCTTAATGTTCTTCACGGTTATTGTAGGGAAACCGGGAAGAAGTTGGCTGGATGCAATTAATCGTCCGAAGGGTATGGATGGATGCGCCATTGCGCGCGAGGGTATTAATGTATCGACCGACGAGGGGGGCATGAAAGTGGTTGTGCTTAGCAGCAGGTATCTCACTTCGAAAGGAGGGATCACGAACTCCGCCGCCTCTGCCTCTGAAATGTAGCGCAGGACAATCCCTCGCCCGCTCTTGAAGGATACCTACACGTCATTAGCAGCAGCACCAGCAGCACCAGCAGGGTAAGGGCGTCAATCATATGGGTTGTGCGCGCGTGACCAATGGGGTTGGCCTGCGGGGTGGGGGGGTCAACGACTTTTGGAAGCAGCAGAGGAATGATTGTGCTCACTACGGGTGGACTCTTGTCATGATGACAAGGATTATTGAACCCCCCATATTGACCATGTAGTCGCCGGCTCCACGAACCACTCGATAGAACAACGGTGGCAGCGCTCGTCAAGGCTGCAGAGACTGCTGTACCTGATGCTCGTGATACCAACACAAACCTACGTCTACGTCCATTACCTCGGGGACATCAGCGGCAGTTTTCCCGGCGCGGAACGTCTCTCGTACGACCCCATCAGCCAGAGACAAGTACACCTGCGCCCGAGACAAAATCGAAAACAGTTCAGCAGCAGAAATGACCGACCAAGGCGGGGGCGGCGCCGGAACAGCGGGGAAGGACAGGGGTGGCGCAGGTGCGTGGGCGAACAAGAGGGTAATTTGGGCCGACGATAGAACCATCGACCATCTCGGAGGTTCGCGTTTGTCCACCGCCGTCCAAATTCACCCAAACTCAAGAGGGTGTGGCCGGAACTACGCTATGGTCGGCCACGCTACGTACTCCCTGTGCGCTCGTGCAATAAGGTGGTCAGCGAAGGGATCGGAACGTACACCCCGCGATTGTCTTGCGCGGGTGGCATATATAGGCACTAGTGTTGGACGTCGATTATTTTTTCAGGCTCTCGCCGTTTGCACCCGGTGCAATGTCCCTTAACCGCCGGGATCGCTACGGGGTGCTACCGGCCATCTCGCAGGTGCGAGATCTTCTCGTTCAGTCTGAACCAGGAATCGCTACCCCCGCCGCTCTTCGCCGTAGGGGTAGCAGCGGGAGAGGGTTCCCATTCCCCGTTATCGCCGCTGACAAACACAACTTTTACGATCATAAAGCACCTTGGCTTCCTCGCCGTCAGGGCTAGACAGGGACACCGGGTCGCCGCAGTCGCTGCCCCGTGCCACCGCCGGGCTGAGGGGAAGGCTGAACACGCAGCCGGAGGCGAGGCCGCACTCCTCCACCAGCTCTCGGGCATGGCCGGGGCCGAAGGGGCGGTGGCGCTCGCCGTTACTGCAGTCGAAGTATGCCATGTTCTCCACCACCGAAAGGACCGGTACCTTGTGTATGGCCAGTTTGACAAAATGTTTGCAGGGTTGTGTTAACCTCAGGGCAAAAGCACAGTTGCAAGTGACCAGCAAGCGGGATTAACATGGAAACAAATGTGGATACTCGCATACATATCCGTGGTGTTGAGGCAGAAAGGGGATCAAGTTGGGGCATTGTCCTTTCCGCGGACAAGGCTGGCACTTCTGTTCCGCCAAATATTGGTCCCTATTCGAAAGACTGGAATGTAGATGAAGTGTGGCATACGATGTACCTGTCTCTGGCTCTTTGCTAAAACCGTGTTGCTCCACGGTCTGTTCGTGACGGCGGTCAAGTTGCAGTGGGCCATGAGTCTCACAGACCAAAATACAGACCATCATGCCAGATATTACTCCCAGACGGGCGACGGATCGGGCAAATCGAAGGGATTCATTGTTCACGGTCGGCACACCTAGAAACATGAAAAAAATCGTTAAGCCTGCTGTATCTCCACTGGATGTTTCCGGTGGTAAGTGAGTGGAGGATCCATAAGACACACCTTTATTTCTGCGAACATGTCGATGCCCTTTACAACGTCCACGTAGCTCAGCTTTTGAGGGGTGGTCACTACCACCGCCCCGCTCATCTGCAACGCCTGTCCCAGCGTGATCTGGATATCACCAGTTCCTGTTACAGAACAAGCAACAGCAACAACAGAGAACAAGGACAGGTGAAAATCGGACGGTGTCAGCGAAGAGGCCGAGGAAAGACGACCACCTCTGGAAGTGATAATCGCCCCCAAATAATGATGGTTTGGAAAGTGCGGGGGTTGTTGACATGTACACACACACATGGGGCAGCAACGCGATCATTGAGTTGAAGGCAACTTCGCCGGGATAGGCAGTCCTCAAAAGAATGCGACTTTTGCACCCCCACATGGAAACGCCCAACTCCGGCGGTGGTTGCTCCCCCCGTGAATTTACCTGGAGGCATGTCGATGATGAGGTACTCCAGCTCTCCCCAGTCGGTCCCGAGCAAAAGCTGATTTATTACCTGGACACAAGAAAACAACAGGCGCCGAGGTACCGCCACATTTTCGTCAAACTGCATACACGAAACGCGCGGAGGGCGATGGGTGGTGGGAATAGTAGGGGGACCCGTGCACGAAGAAGATAGCTCCTGTGATACTCGCGGCGCAATAAAATCAGTGTCATCAAGCTCGAAGGGCTTGTCTCAGACGCGGGATAACAATCAGTTGCAGAATCCCCCGCTTTCCAAAACGCTGTGCCAATTGAGCCACCACACCGCTTGCGAAAAATGAATTGACGATGTCACCAACGCGCGCGCAATTCCCGCAGTTGGTACAATCATGGCTTACTTCGGAAGGGAGAAACGATGTGTGGCCGAAATGAAGCATGACGTGGCGATTCCTCAAAAGGATACCCTCCCAAAAGCTGTCATGGGCACCGACCTTCACTGGCTGCTGCCGGGCTGAGGCATGCAAGACTGCTTAGAGTTGAGCGACGAAACATGAACCACAGCAGACTCTACCAACTGGGTGCCGTGCTTGACATACGGTTGGCCATGGCGACCACGATCGACATGATTTCCTGCCCGCACTACCTCAGCACCGGGGCGATCCGCTGGTGTAGGGCACGCGTGAAATCACGTCCAAGGTCGTGGCACACGTCACCGCTCATCGTAGTTGAGCGCGTCGAGGGGTCTCAAGGATGCAACCACACGACATTTTTCCTGCCTGGGAACGCTGCAAGTGCCACGTTTGATATTGCTAGTAAGTCCTTCGACAATTCGTCGATAAAAAAAAGGCAAATTGGAGCAACCCCAGGGGGGATTCGAACAAAAACTTAGGACAAGCATATACAGTTTTCATGCCAGGGGGTTGCGGACCTTCGACACCATGGGTCCCCTCATTACCGCAGCCCCGTGTCCACCGGCGCCGGGAACTCCCGCCTTGGCGTTGACCCACCCAAAGCTCATGCACGCCACCCCACGATGGATAATCGGCGAGAGAAGATTGAGGTCCGGAAAGGCGGGGCTCACTCGAAGAGCGACATCGTCGGGCTGTCCGTGTCAAAAAAGTTGTTTTTTGAGTGGCAAGAAAACATGGCCAGCAACGCGGGCAGAGGAGTGGGTGTGAATCGAGGGTGACGGGGACGCGCAGAAATTTCCGAGCGGTGCACAACGGCGTGTGTCGGTTTACCCTGGTGAATAGCAACTACCGGCTCGGCTCTAACGCGTGGTGGAATAACCTAAATATGTGCAGCAGTTGACGGCCCGGGAAGTTTTTGCGTATGCCAATAGACAACAAAGCAGTTGAATCATCGACAGCTTCCTGAAACATGAGCGTGAGCGATGCTGACGACCCGGCCCGCAGCATGACATACGGTGCCAATTTTGGACGCAACTTCTACTGCTTCGGCTCACATTGACAAGGGTGGGCAGACTCGGGCCGTACACGTCGGCGTCGAGCAGGCCGACCTTGGCCCCCCTCGACGCCAGCGAGTACGCCAGGTTCACCGCCACCGTGCTCTTGCCCACCCCTCCCTTGCAGCTGCTCACGCACACCACGTCCTGCACCGACTCGAGCCCCGGGGACGGCGCTCCTCCCCCTCCGCCTCCTCCTCCACCGCCAGGTGTTGTCTCTGTCCCGACACTACGATTGAGTATGGAACCCGGTGTGCTACGTCGCTGGACCGTCCGTCTCCACCTCGGTCTACGGACCTTGGTCAGCGCGTTGGCAGAGGCTACCCAGGGAAGGGCGAGCAAGGCGGCCTCGCACTCCGAGGCGAGAGTGTCGCGCCCGGGCAAGGCGAGCGTCGGCACTCGGAGCGTGAAGCTTATCGCCAACGGCGCTTCCGCGCTGTCCTCGCCGGTGTTGTCTTGTGGTTGCTCACCATGAACAACTTCTGGGAACGCGAGAAAATGGATGGGCGGAGGGGGAAGGCAAGAGAGGACCACATGGGAACACAAGCTTACTGGTGAGACGTTGGTGTACATTCAGCTACCACAGCAATGTCGTACAGCAGTGCATCTTTGCGTTCTACATATATACGCGTCTCCTTTTGCACAAGCAAGCGCACGACTGCAAGCTACAGTAGCCTACCCGAAGACGATGGACATGTATTATGTTTGCGCGTGCACCAGACTACACACGAGGAGCTTCGATCTGCAAAGCGGTGCCTGAAACAAGGCTTGTATCGTAGCAAAACCAGGCCAATAGGGCTACGTAGCTTGCACAACGCCACCGCTGTCAAGGATGGCCACTAGTCATGACCAACGCAGAGGTACCTCCACGTCTACTGCTCTCGTAGGGCTCACCGTCGATGCGCACATCCTGCACGAAGCCGAGCTCCACCACATCCTTGCCCGTGCATGGCTCAACAACACCCGAGAGGATCGCCAGCACCTCTTCCTCCTTCTCTTGCCGCCAACGACGCGCCAGTTCTTCCTCCGGGCTGCTGTTGGGCCCCCCCGACGTCCCTTGCCCCCAACCGCCCCACAGAGACATGTGCCTTCTCCTCGGCAACTGCCGCGCATTGCCACCGTTCCTGTAGTGCGCGACGTGCCAGCTGACGTCCGTGGCGAGACTGGGACCGGGAGCGGTAGAGATAAACCGTCGTGACTGTAAGATCTGGGGAGACAGCAGTGCCGCGATGGTGCTTGTAGTGTCTGATGCTGCTGCCGTCCGACGTCCTTGGGCCGCAGCTCCGGCCACCTTGATGCCTCTGCGACTTGTGCTGCAACTTGTGGGCTTGTTACGTCGGACGGAGACATCGACCAAATGCCTCGCCCGCGCTCTCCCAGCAAGTGGGTGCCACCTACATGTATATGGTAGGGCTAGCATTAGGTGGTGGCCAGGCGAAAGGTCGATGTGCGCATAGGGCTTGATCGTCAGAGAGAGGCGGCGCAATTACTGTGGGGTTGACCGCTTGACCGCGTGTTCTCCGGAGACGGTCCAGGGCCCTGTCACCTGGCTGCTGAGAGTTCTCTCTTTCCCCTGCTCTCTCTCCCTTATGTGCAATCCAGGTTTGTAGATTGTGTTATCACAACGAGGAGGGTGCGATTCTGCGCGGCTGACCTAGTAGTCTGTGCCGAAGTGCGCGAGCGAGAGAGATGCTTCATCCATTCAAATTTCAAATTCCCTGCCCCCGACATGTTTTTGGAACGAAAATGTGCAGCACTGATACAAAACCTGTACTGTGTATGGTTTCGTGGTGTCATATTATTAAGAAAAATAAAAAAAAACTGTACTCTGTCCTTTGTCTTTTTGTGGCCTGGTCCCGGGGGGCTGGATCATCCTACCCTTGCGATGATTCCGGTGAAAACTGAGCAAGTGGGAGGGAGGTTCATGTCATGCGCATACAGTCAGAAAAGTGTACTCAGTACACATCAAATTACGAATTACAGAAGAACAGCAGCAACAGTAGTTACGGACGAACTGGCTCTCACTGCTGTCTCTCTCGGGTGATACAAGAGCTGGCTCTCTGTATCTCTCTCGGCTTTAAATACATAGACTACAGTAGTCCATTCTCGGAATAGAAAGCAGTAAATCCCCATGAAAGGGTCGCTGTCGCGCTGCATTTCCGTTTCTCTTCGCGCCTTCGTTCGTGTCTCCCGATAGAGGGTTACCACACTACTGCCCTCGGAAACGACCACGGCTGTTGGGGAATGACTGGCATTGCGGACGCCCTCCACAATGCGAGGGCGGCGGTCGGCTTGAACGCAGTTGAAAGCCCCGAGGAGACATGCCGCACGATCCCTCGGCCTTGTTCTGCATGGCAACAGCGCCAGGCGCTCGTTCCAAATGTGGAAGTACGGAATACCTTTGAGCCAGGCGATGTCACCGCTACTTCTCCTTGGGCACTGTTGCTGCCCATCACTTCCTTCGGCATTGGCGAACAGGATAACGCTAAGTGCATGAGAATGCTTGAGCGGTTCAAAGGCTCGCTGTTGAGTACCACTACTGCGGATGACCGCAGTGCTATCTCCATTTGCGTCGCAATTGATGATGGCGACCCCGTCTACACAAAGGGAAAGGTGGTTGGATTCTTCAACGATTGCGGCTTGGCAAGGGTGCAGGTCACCATGGTACACCCTGGGTTCTTCGGAAATGTTTGCACGATTTGGAACCTTCTGGCGGCCAAAGCTGTCGAAGACTGCAAGGCTGACTACCTAGTCCTTGTGGGAGACGATGTTGAGTTGGAGACCCCAGGGTGGAAGGGCGAGATCGAGGCCTCCATGCGCAACGTGTCTGAGGCTGCCGGACTGCCTCTGGGGATGGCGTGCGTGGCGTTTCGTGACCTGACCATGCCTGCGTTTCCGAGCTTTCCAGTCATCCACCGCCGTCACGTGGAGGTTTTCGGAGCTGTGTTGCCTCCGGAATTTGTAAACCAAGGTGGTGACCCATTCCTCTTCGAGCTGTATCGTCGTTTTGGTGCCTCCGCTTTCGCGGACACCGCTTCCCTGAAGAACCTCGTGGGCGGCAAAGAGGAAGCTCGGTACCCGAAGGTTGGAGTCCGCTGGCAAGGGGCCATTCTCACGAGGGAGATCGAACGATTTTCAAGGCTAGTGCGGCCCACGGGGCCTCGTTTCAGGTGCTTGGGAGTGGTGGTGCCTACTTTCAGGTGCGACATTTCCATGCTCCGCGACATTGTTTCGCTCAAGTCAGCCGCCTACCCTAACGTGTCTGTGCAAATCATCGTGGTGGTGGAATGCCCTGGTGCCGCCAGGCTTGAAGAAGTGAATGCTTTGACATCCTACGCAAAGGATCACGTCGTACGAGTTTCCGTCAACAAGGAGAACCTCGGGGCAAGCAAGAGTCGCAACATCGGACTGTCGCAGGCGTTTTCGGATCACGTCGTACTGCTGGATGACGATGTAGTGCCCGAACCCCACATTCTGGATGCCTACCTCGGCGGCATCGATCGGTTCCCGAAAGCGCGCGTGTGGGTTGGGTTCACCCGTTTCCCTCCTGCCAATACCGTGATCGAACATGCTGTGCGCGCATCGAACCTGTGCCACTCTACAGGATCGCGAAAGTCGTCGCCTACCCGCCTTGGGGCGTCACAGCCAATCTGTGCGTGAGCGGACGATCGGGAGACATCTGGTTTAGCCCGGCTTACCCCAAAACTGGAGGTGGCGAGGACGTAGACTTCTGCTTGAAGACGAGGCAGAAGTATGGGCGTGACGCTATTGTGGCGGTGCCGGGAGCTGCGGCGACGCACCCTTACTGGGCCAACCCCATTCGCCAGGTGTGGGGATGGGCCCGAGGCGACGCCCTCTGTCTCAGCTTTCATCCGCACTCCACGTTCTATCGCGCCCCTGATTGGGCGGAGACCATCGTCTTGATTTGGTTGGTGTTCGGGGTCGCAAACATCTGGAGCGTAACGCAGTGTCTCACGGCCTCCGGCGTTGTTGGAACAGTGGAGTTCTTGGAGGGATTGGCCCACGTCTACCCGGGGACCACCGGGGCCGAGCCCTGGTCTGCGGTACTCCTCGCCCCGATTCCGAGCATGGTGCAGGATGTAGCTCGTCTTGTCACCAAGCTGGCGCAAGGCAATCTGTACCAACTCCTCTTGTCCTTCGACTGGATGGATGGGACGGATGGGCACAAATGGCGGACTGCTTCAAGGGTGCTCCACGCTGCCAAGATTTCCGGAAACCTCTTGATCGGCGTTAGCGCGGCGCTCGGATACGGCCTGCATTGCTCACTCGTGGTCGTTGCAGGGCTAGTCATGCCCTTCAGGTGGCAGACACCCGGTGCAAGGAGAAAGGCCACCAATCAGAGGGCGCCGGCCCGGTTCGTCGTGCTAGCGTGGCAGCGTACTGGGAGCAACTTGCTGTGTGGTCTGCTGCACAACCACTCGGGTGTCTTCATGCACAACGAAATATTCCACAACCGCGCCATCCACACCTACCACCAAGACCGCCTGGAGAAGTGGGAATGGACGGTGGCCCGCCGCGATGCCGACCCGAGACGGTTCATCTCTGAGGTCTGGGCGCGTTCGGACAGACCGGAGCAGGCCATCGGATTCAAGCTCTTTCCCGAGCACATCTACCGCGACCCGGAGACCATGGCCTCTCTGCTCGCCGACGCTACCGTCAAGAAGATCGTCCTGCGCCGCGGCAACGCGGTGGCTGCGTACGTTTCCCAGCGACGCGCACTGCTGACGGGGCAGTTTCTCCAGGTGCAGCAGCCTGGTAATGTCTCCATCCGCATCGACCCCGACGAGCTGCAGGACCACCTCGCCAACTACGAGAGCTGCTACGCCACCTACTCCCGTCTTCTGGCGGGACAGGCGTTCCACGAGGTGTTGTACGAAGACTTGTGCGGCAGTGCGAGGGGCAGCACCTTCCGAGGCATCGCTGACTTCTTGGGGCTAGACGCTCGCGTCCCCGCGCCCCTCGCGCAGACGGCAAGGCAGACGCCAGCCTCGGTCAGCAACCGGGAAGAACTAGTGCGGGCGTTCCGCCATACAGTCTACAGGGGCGAAGTCGGTGCGTACCCGTGTGTCTGTGTACGTCTTGCACCACTGGAGAACAGTGATGCTGACCCATTGCGACTATTACGTGCAAAATCTTGGAACGGGCTAAACCACATCCGGTGAGAACCCTCATTCACATGAGCTTTGGGGTAACTCATCGGCCGGCGATATCGTTGTTTTGGAATGCGTTCCTTGTCTCTGTATTTTCCATCAATGTTTTGGCAGAAGGGCTACTCACCAGCCCAACTGATACTGCTGCAGCAGCCAGTGCGACAGAATGCCAAGAGGAGGTGCAAGAGCATCTGGACCAGCAGCAGAACACGAAAACGAGAGGAGAACCGAAAGACGCGCTTGCAATGGCAAGGTGTGTTAATAGAAAAAACGGCACAACCATCGAGTATTGTCTTGGTCATTTTCGTTCATTGTTCAGAGCATCCAACTGATTGTTCATGTAACTTTCGTCATTGATGGTACAGTAGAGTGGTCTTGCCGCAGGGAACGATGGTTCTCTCCAGGGGGCCTGCGAAACGCTCGCCATAGGACGGACCCGGGTTGACGGACTGCGTATATCCGAGGCAAAAAAAGTATGTAGAGTAGACTCCTCCTCTGTGCATACATCGACAGGAAACACGGAACTTACTGTGGAGAGAAAAATTGTCGTACCGTTGGTCTGCGTTTTGTTGTCCAGGTCGCCGTCGCCGTTGCTTTTTCCATGTTGCCCACGCGGTCAATCTTGTTTACACGCTGTCCGAGCACCGAATTGGTTGCTTCGTGCTTTATCGTAAGTGGTTCGACGCGATGACCACAACGGGACGAGGTGTACAAGGCTGGTTGCGGAGTTGTCGTTTCCGCCCTCACCCATTGGCCGTCTCTCGCGTTTCTGTTGCGCGCATCACGAATAGGACCTTGAGCAACAGCAAGCACGGCGAGAAGTAGCTGCGACGAGCAGAGCCACAGAGCACACGGCAGGACATCACGGCAGTAGGACAGAGGGGTGTTCACGTTCGTCAGATATTGAGCTGCTCTAGTGGTGAAGAAAGGCCTCCGGCCTGGATGCCTCTGGCCACAAAGGTACACTAGCTTAAGTTTTGAAGGTTGGCTCTCGTCGGATGTGACGGGTTGGCCAACGAGCTTAAAATTTTCGGGTCTTCGATGCCCCCGCTTCGCAACATTTTGGGTGTTTGGAAGCTACTAGTATCCCGAAACTGTCGGTGCAATGGGTTCGCCAGGGATCGGCTTCTGCTTTGAAGGTCATGGCACAGACAATCGCGGACGAAGGCTTGCTCGTTCCCAACTTGTTAGGAATGCCACCAACTTGTGAGTCCTGCCGTTTTCGGCATGATGCCTTCAACTGCAGGATTCACAAATGTTTGATGACATGCTTGCACATTGCAAAGTTCGAAGCGTTTGCTTGCCCTATCTCTCTGGTCATCGTTACTGGTCGCTCGGGTCTTTGGCCGTCGCTGTGGTTCTTGGGGACAGGTGTCATTCAGCACCCGTATTCTTTGTACGATGGCATGCTTGCAGACGGGGAAGGGGTGAAATTCGACGTGCAGGGGTACGAGGGGGTGACGCGGGGCGCCACTGCAGACAAGGACGGGTTACATAATATGTTGCTACTATCTGGAGGAGTAGGAAAACAATCGTGGCGGTATGAAAGAACAGCCTATCCGCCGAGGAAAGCTACTCTTGCATCCGATTAACCGTACCGTATCTATTTTTCTATTATCTTGTAAGTGAGGGCTTCGTGCAGGGGATAGGCATACCACCAACAAACGGTAAAGACCATGGGTAGTAGACTAGAAATAACCAGACTTCGGACTTCGGGTTATGGGCAGGGTGAATATGGGCAGGTGTTGCAAGGTAATTGTGTGTTTTTCTTGATACCGTTTGAAGGTATATTTCCCTTCATCGCGCTGTACAGAGGTGCGAAGAGACTGAGTACGCATCCCAACAGGATCGGCATTGGTATGAGCTTTTTCGAGTTTGGCATGTGTTGATCGACCCGATGGTTTACGCCTCTTCGGTTACTGCTTATGCAGAACGTTTTCCCCTTCGTTGTTGTCTGGGCCACTGAAGAAGTCATGCTGTGTCACAGGTGGCCTTGGTGGGAAATTGTTACGCTGTATCAATTCGAGTTGTCCTGTCTTCGTTTTGAGACGCGTCGGGATGCGATTTCCGGGCATTAGTCTCGCAGGGCACATCAACATCGAGCACACGACCTGTTGCCAACCCGGAAATATGGCGAATCAGAGCAACGTTTATTCTGCGCCTCACGCTTCCAGCTCCCCTCTGTAACGTCATGTGAGAAATCTATTTTGTGGAATGGATTCTTAGACTTGGAACAAACAAACCTTCCTTCCATGACGTACATAGCTGAATCAAGAATCGGCGAGCAAGACACGAAGAAAAACGTCAAAAGCTGTAGAATCGCACTGAACAGCACGAGGAACAGAAAGAGGTTTTGGTGGGTACCATAAACGTCTGGGAATACAATAAATGATTTCCAAACATTGGGGCGACAACGCCTACACGATGCCGAGCATTTCATACTGCGTGCTCCGTCCGCAACGTTTTGTTCTCGTCTCTACCATCATATTCCACGCCCCCTTTCCCACCACGGTGTTTCACCTACGAATTGAGGGCAGCAAGGAGCTTGACGCCCAAAGCACTGAATGACTCATGTCCTGTAAGCCCCGTTCGCGTTACCATCCGTCACCTCAAAGAAAACACACACATGGTGATGCCCACAGAACGAACGCCACTGTGTACGTTAGCACCCACCGCCTTCCTACAACATGTATAGAACCACTTACATGTATTCAACACTCCATAACACACGGCAGATATCCTGGTATAAAACGTAAAGATCTCAACAAGATTGTCTTCCTCCTCATTGCGGAACGCTGCGACATTTAATGATTGTAGACTATTGTATGCAGTCCGCGGGGGAGGAGATGGCGAGCCTCTGCTCATGCTGAGAAGTTCCGTGTGTTGTTTTGTGCGCTCTCGTAGGCCGCCCGAGCTGCTGCCACGCTCTGAATTTCCCGCTCGACCGCGGCCGTGGCGGCTTCAAGCGCTCTGCGGGCGACCTCGCGGTTCCTGTTAGCAGTCGCGAGTCTCGCGTCCGCGTCACTGAGTGCCTTTTTTGTTTTTTTTTCCTCTTTCTTCAACTTGCTCTTTTGTTGTGCCTGACAAGATAAGTCCGTAACGAAGACGATCCCCCGAAGGCTATGGTAAGCGACTTACGCGCCGACGACGAATCGAGGTGTTATGAACACGGTATCAGCATGTTAGGCTCCTGCCAAGCATAAACAAACACCGCAAGGAGGAGCAGAGAGAATGCGGAGCTGCGACCGTTCAACGCTAATCATCATCGTCCCCTTTTTTCGTACCGTGGCCCTTGCTCGAGATCATCCGCTTGAGATCATAAGGAAGCTTCAGCCGTGAGTTGATGCGAGAACGAACGACGACGACGACGACGACGACGACGATGGTCGCCACGCCACTATCACCAACACATAACAACAACTGCGTCCGAACAGATGGACGTCCATACAGCCGTTGTTTCCCCGTCGCCAGACCCAGAGTTCGTACGATGTACCTACCTGTGCCACGAGGTGTGCCACGTGTTCGCTGCCGCGTCCCTTCAGAGCGATGTGAGCATGGACACGTTGAACGACAGCGTCCTGTTTAGCCCCTTCAGGGAATTTGATGCCGCAGAAATTCTCTCCAAAAGCTATCAGATCGTTTTTGTGAATGCTGCGGAGCGTTGACTCGCTGTACGTCCGAAGAGCAGGTTCGTCGGCGTCGCACACCGCCGCAAGCTGCGCCATGGTGAATACTTTCTAGAGTCGACCTCGGGACCTGGACCTGTGAACGGACACCAACACGATATATGTATTTTGGGAAACACACCGTGGAGGTCCCCATCATGAAGAGGACGGCCCCCTTCTTGAAACGTTGGCTTCGCGGTGAGATTTCTGATGGGTGCAGCTAGACATATCGCTAGTAGCCTTCTTGCGTATCAACGAAGAAGTAAAAGGGCCTGTTGTATTGGTATCCTTCATAAACAGTAGCATAGCAATAATCTAGGCACATCCTGAACGTGTGTCGAGGCCGATTCCGTCTTTTCGCAGGAATGAATATATGCATCTCAACGTGCCTGGAATCCGGGGTTGCTTCAATCGAAAAATGGGGAATGGTCCATGCACAAATACGCCCCATGTCAAGATCGCCTCGAAGATGAACGACATGAAAAAAGTACGCATGAAGTCCGTCAAGGGTCCTTGGTGGGAAGAGGGAGGTCATGGAGAATTTGGAGGTACATATTCGATGTATGTGCATAGATTAGCTACGTTACACGTCTCTTGGCGGGCGACTGTGCAAGTAACCTTTGGAAGGAAGCTCCGTCAGTCAGAGAGGATTGAATCCCGGGAAAACTGCAGTAGACTGCATTGTGTAGCAGACTATGTAGAGTAGGCTCAACAGTCAGACTACTTGTAGCCTTGCTGGGATTCAGTTTATTTTGTTGATTGGTATTTTATTAACTCCGAAGATGCTTCGAATGGTGCCTTGGATACGATGTCTACCAACGTTCGTTTGCTGATACAAAGGAGTATTGGGGAGTTCGCAACACACAGATATGACGCGTTGACGTATGTAGAGGAATACCGTCCGTCAAGAGTTTGGTCAGCATGGGATCAAGCTGTTGTTCTGCAATTGGGTCATTCCCTTCTTGTCTGAGGTTTTCCAGAAGCAGTCCGAAGCCCTCAACCACATCATCTATCTCCTGCTGTGGATTCACGCGTTACAGCAATAACATTTCGCCGTGGGGAGAATCCCCGGCAAGCACCACGGTAGTAGGCGAAATCATGCAGATCGGTGGCTGGAAAATCGAGCCGGGTTCCGAGGGACTGTACATATGGGGAGACAACTCTAGCGCCTCCGAAACGCGTGAGGTGGATGATATAGTCTACGATGTACAATGAGCGCGCGGATCGATTGATTTTCGCGAGAGGTTTAGGGTGTGTTTCGGGCTCTGCATGGCGCTACAGGTATATGTGGTTGCTTCGGTTCATAGACTCATGACGGGGGGGGACCTACAGGACGAAGTTTGGGTAGGTTCTTGAGCTAGGAAAGGAGGCCAAATCCAAACAAGTCCAATACACTTCATGTGTTATCCAACACAAGAGCGAGAATAGGTAACACAGAATTTCGCCGAGCATGAAGTCTATGTAGTCTAGGCCGTCCTTTCGACCTCCAATAGATTGTGGCTGTCCCCTGCAGCAGAGGGGAGGGAGCGTTGAAGGTGAATGCATGAATGCACATAGGCAAGAGGAATATTTAGACTATGTCGGCGCAGAGAACGATGTGGAGCTACCTTATCAGCAGCAGTTGGGTATACCGGCTGTGGTCTAGGCGACCGTCGTACAGTCCAATCCTTCCCCAAACACCCCTGCCTATGTTCGTGCTCACCTTCCAAGTGACCGTGTTCGCAGCAAGTAGTATTGGCTGGTTCTTGGCGCTGTAGGGCAGACAAAGGTGGACGAGATGGCAGGTCGTCGACTGGCGTACCGGAGGAACTGTTGTACACTGTATGTATGGCGTATGTCAACGCTTCGGGAAGAAGAGTGAAAGTGTGTCGTTCCCCATGAAAAGTTGGGAGAGGAATGACTGATGACTGCTTCATAAAAGGGTACTGTTTTTCAGAATGAAATCACCTACCGTGTACAGTACTACGGAGTATTAAGAGGCTTCGTGGCACGCAGTTTTCTGATTGGTCAATACCTGCGGCGGAACTTTAATCACAGACATGACTGAAGATCCGGGCGACGGGTGCCGTCTTCACCGTCACACCCTGTACGGCAGATTGGGAATCGATGGCAGATGACTTGTTGAGACAGTAAA